CGGTGTTCTCCTTGACCTGTTCCGGTCCAGCAATGCCATCGATGAACTCGGCGTAATCTGGATCCTGTTCTTCGGATGCGGTCTCGGAGTCAGATGAAGCACTAAACTCCTCTCCGAAGAAGTACTCCTCCTCCATCTTGCTCAGAAAGCTTTGGACTCGATTGGACAAAGTATCCATTCGTTTCTCCAGTGCCACTTGCCGAGCTAGCTGCTGCACTTTGAATTTGCGCAATCTGCGCGAGTAGCTATTTTTCAGCTCCTTGCGCACTTCATCGCGAACCTGCTTCTTGATCTTGGCCACACGAACCTCCCAAGCAGATGGCTTCCCAACTTGTTTCTTCTTCTGCTTTGACTGCTCCACCGCAGCAGGCTCGGTCTTCACACGACATCGTCGAGATGGGCTGCCAACTTCGGTCTTCACTTCCGGTTCCATCTTCACTTCCATCTTCACCGCCGGGGGCATGGATGGGAGGCTTGCTGGCGTGCCTCGAGGCCTAACCCTGCTCAGGCCAAAACTGCTACTCAAATCATACTTGAATTGCAAAGCCACCGTCTGGCTCCATGTACAGATTCCTCCCTGTCTGCTGTTCAGCGCTCAGAAACCCCGGTCCTCGGTCCTCGCGACTGTAGTGAGGAATGGCATGGCCTGCAGCAGTGAGCTTCAGATATTAGGCACTCCCAATGATGAAAAACACAGTTCTCAGCAGCTTAACACTCCAGATGGATGTGGTCAGAAAGTGGCTTCAGAAAGCTCACTAGTTCCTGTCAGAAGCAATCACATCGTCCATAGAAAGCCTATTTCGCCAAACCGCCTTCCAAATGCACTTCCACTCTGGCTGGGCCACGGGCCCGCGCAGGCTTCGGAGCCTCCAAGCAGAAAGCAAAAGCTCCAGACATGCACAATGACAGCTGGACTGGAGTCTGCACTGCTCGAACACTGGATGGGACACGCAGCTGTTTTCATACCACGCCCTGGATGGGTGATCGGAGCGGCTCAGGCCGGAGAGGTGAACCCCAGGGCTCTCACTACCGGCAGCAAAACCTAGGTGGAGCTTTTATTGAAAAAATATCCTCTTAAGCCCAATAAGAGAAACTATAAAATGTCCCAAAGCCCTACCTAGAAACGACCGTCAACGACGTGCTCGCCATCGCTTGGCCGATCAAGCCCATCGCCTGCGGCTCCGTCAGCCCGTCTGTGATGTAGGATGGGAACCCCAGGGCATTCATGAGCTCCCCCGCCTTGAAGAACCTGAGGCACCAGCCCTTAACCCTAAACCCTAAACCCTAAACCCTAAAAAAAATAGCCCAAGGCCTAAACCCTAAAAGAAATAGCCAAGGCTCCTCCCAAGATGGAAGGAATAGATGCGGGAAGAGGTGCAGACAGAAGGGATGGAGCCGTTCACGGCCACATTCCCCCTGCCGCAGCTCTGCCCCGCATCCGCAGCAGGATGGAGGTTGCCGCCCGCCAGATGGATGTGCTGCAGCTGCTCGTGGACGATGGCATTGTACCTCTTTAACTAAGCTAAGGAACGCTAGCAAACCGTGCTGCAAACACACTTGGATCTGACTGTCAGGATTTAGGGTTTAAGTCCAGGCACACAGTCAGCTGTGCATCCATCCAAGGGCTCGATGCCATGTTGCAGAAGTGCTCCGTGACTTCGAAGTTCTTGGGCAACCTCCTGGCATTCACGGCAGCCTCCAAGGCTTTCGCCAAGCACTTCTGGTACTCGGACTCACCTGCAAACTTCCCAAACATCACGAAGAAGCTTTTATGGTGCCTCACACAAAAGACAGCATGACCAGTCCAAGGCACGTTTTGCGGTGGTCACACTGACCACTTGATGGGTGGGAACAGCCCTGTTAGAGGTGACCGTGTCCTCGTCCGCCTCCAGCACGCACGAATGGATCAGATGGGTGGTCGGTCGGGCCTCGAGATGCCTCTGCCTCAGTCCGAGTTTTGTTATTTTTATTTTGGGACGATGGATGCACTAAGTTCAGCCTGGGCACAATTTCAGTATGTCTTGAGCAATCTGGGCCAAGTTGGCGGCCCCCTTCAAGCAACCGATGGTGTACACACGCGCACGGGGTGCTGGCCTCGGCTTGTATTTCCATCATGATATACCAACTTGGACTTGGAAGTGCTACGGAGAAGAGTACTATGTCTCGGATGCTCAGACAAGCCGCAGCCTGTAAGCCTGGATGTCGAAATGCTCCCATGTATAGTCGCAGCCCTGCAAGATCTCGTTGAGTTTTGCGTTGACCCAATCCAACATGGTGCCATCCTTGTCAGGTTTCCTTACCGCTTTGAGACCAGCCACATTTTCGAGTACGAAGCAACGTGGCCGGAGCCTCTTCACGAGCTCCAGGATGCCGACGAGCACGTCGGCCTGATAACTATCAGCTGGATCCTCGCTGAAGCGCTGCGGATTGAGGCGGCTGTTCTTTTGACACGGATACCCCGCCACCAGAAGCTCCAGTTCCGGCTGTGGCATGCTGCAGCGTTTCTGATGGATATGGCAGTAGTCTTTTCCCGAGCTTGCCAGCTCCAGAACATCTGTGAAAAGTTGGTCCGGTGTCTGGCGGACATTGATACAGCAGCAGTGGGCTGCATTCCTGTGGCGGTGGCTCCAACAAAGCGAAATGCTGACTGATAACGAAACAAACAAAGTGCCGCCAGGCTAATCAGGCAAGTTTCGGGCTCGAGTCGCAGGCGATCATCTCCTTGATGAAAGGCAACATCTTCTGCAACACCAAAGTCGGCGCGCCCGACCCTGAGCATGCTGTTGCCATGGCAAAAGTCCTTGGGCTTTGTGCTGGGCCCACACCGAGCACTCCCATCATCTCGCCGATGAAGTCCTGAAGATCGAGCGGCGTCGTCTTCGGCTCAGAGATGGGAGTGAAGCCTTGTCCAGAAGACACGACCACACTGTGCGCTGCAGCCGGTTTCTTGAGGGCTTTGTTGCCCTTCTTCACCTTCAACTTTGGGGCCATGGTTTTGCAAGAAGAGGAACAACCGAACACACCTACGACCAAGAGTGAGAGATGTAGAGAGTGAGTTGATGGTTGAAATTGCACATCCACTAAGCGTCACTGACTCTGCCCTTCTGCAGGGGCACCCACGGGAGCCAAAATGGCTGAGGACAGTTAAGAAAGACATCGGTCGCTGGTGTTCTTAAGCGTCCCTTGGCAGGCCAAGGACAGTTAAGGGAGCGGATTGTTCACACGTAGCGGGTGTTTAAGTGCCACTACGTGAATCATGATGTTGTCGAAGTGTCGCTACGGGTCGGAAATCGCTGCTCTTACCCGTCCTTGGCCTGCCAAGGGACGCTTAAGGTTGGCCTGACCTGACAGTCCCGCTAACTGTCTTCACTATTCGGGCTCCTCTCTGCTAGTCTGTGTGTCGCCGGAACCCCAACAAATGGGCCTGTGCATGTGAGCGCACCGTGTGGTTTGGTGGACCTAAGCCATGGTTCGGCACCGCAGGTAAGGTCAGGGTTCCTCTGTTAGTTGTTAGTTGTCTTTTTCTGGCGAAACTCTCTCTATAAATAAATACACATCTCCCTCTCTCTCTCTCTCTCTCTCTCTTTCTGTGTTTCTCTTTCTATGAGTCTCTATGACTCTCTGTTTCCCAGGTCTTTCTCTCTGCTCTGCTCCCTCCCTCCCTCCTTCCCCCCTCTCTCTCTCTCTCTCTCTCTCTCTCTCTCTCTCTCTATCTCTCTCTCTCTCTCTCTCTCTCTCTCGCTCTTTCTCTGCTACTTCCTACAACACCCTCCCCGCGTTGAAGCACACCCCTGAGGGCTCTATATGTATCCTGTCTCTTTGTCTCTATCTCTCTCTCTCTCTCTCTCTCTCTCTCTCTCTCTCTCGTTATCTTTATCCGTCCCGGTTTCCTCTTTCTTGCCATTGGAGGACAGAACCCCACCCGGCCAAAGAGCTTCCAACGGATATGAGCAGTTGAACAATTTCTGCATCAAGAACATATGACAGATGAGCCCAATATCTAAGAATGGCCAGTCTCATGAACACTGGCTGTTGTTGCTGAAGCCTGACTCATTGGACTTGATAATCTGCTGAGCAATTGTTGTTGCTGACAATGCACCAATGTAAACACGCATTGGCTTGGAACCTCTGCTATCGTGCCCCTATGTCAGCAGATTGCTTGCTATCAGTGTGATTATTCTGAACGACCAACCCGCTGAAAACTTGCCCCCAATACACATCCCCGAAACCTAGATCATAGTAAACACATCTCCCATAACCCCAGTCGGCACTTTGCGGCCAAACACTGTTTGGACTAACACCTGAACCCTGAGTTTCTAGCCCACTCATACTGATTTCGTCTGTCGTCGGATGCAAATGGAATGTGAACTATGCGAGAGCTTCTGATTTTGGGACCTAGATACGAAGTACTATTTGCGGCGAGGGGCATGACGCCTAAAACCTAGATCGCGGCGAGGGGACATGCGACCTACAACTTGGCGACCTAGAAAACAGATACCCGCGATGAGGGGGTATGGCCTACATCTTCAAAACCCAGACAAAACGTAGTCGCGGCGAGGGAGCACGCCGCCTTTTCCAGTATCTAGGTAGGCCTTCTACGCCTAGAGTCAGATTGCTATTTAACCACCCTCATTCCTCTATACTCCTAGTATGAAGGTTGTGCATTTTCTCAGGGCTCATGCTTTGCAAGATCAGACAAGGTGTGAACGGAAAGATATAATATGTCGACGAGGTTCCTGATCAGTCAGTTTCACCCACGCGAACCCGATGCGCAAGCACATATTGCGTTATCTTTCTCAGGCGGGTCGTGGCTGCGTACTTCACCAAGGACTGAAGGAAATGCAAAATGCGACATGTTCCAGTCGCTCGTGCTCCAACAGCCCCTTGTACAATGGTTCCTGAGCCCTCACTGGGATGGATGCTCGGACCCTTCAATGATGGATGCGCCACAAAGCCCATCATAGAAATCAAATGTAAAATTGGGATGCGCAGCTGCACATCTACTCGGCATCCGACGATGATGTCGAGGCCTCCCTGTCATTGGGACCCTGATAAGCACTGCTTGATGGAAACTTCATGCCCTCACCCTCAGCATAGCCCTCTTTCAAGCCCTCGCAGCGCTGCTCCAGCACCCGAAGCTGCTGCTGCTTGCGGCGGATCTTGCGCTCCATGTGGGCCACCTTCGCCTCCTTGAGGCTTTGCTGAAAGGTCGTCTCCAACGTCACCTTGACGGTCATCTTCTTCGTCTTCGGATTGCTGTCACATTGGCAAATCCAGTACTCCTGGAGGTATTCGAGTCCGAAAAGGCAAAGAAGTTCTGAAAACGTACTTCCTAAACCCTGTCCCAAACGTAACCCTTAGAGTTGTACTCCAGCTCAGACAGGAAGCCGTCAAAGGGCATGCCTGTACATTCTCAATGTCCTCGGGCAGATGGGTGAAGCTGGCCTCCGAACAAAGGAACCTGAGCTGAAAAGAATGACACTTTGCACAACCAAGGCAAGCGACACTCTGCACAACCAAGGCAAGCAGTGATGCATATCTCTACTAAATCTGATCGGGTGGCTCCGACTGCTGCCCTTCCTTAAGCAGCCAAGCAAGCAGCACGGGCGCGCTAAAAGCCGTGAAGTACAGGAAGGAATCCGGATGGATGTCCTTCTTGGGCACAGTGTTGCGGCCCAGAGCCTTTTGCACGGCCTTGCCGATGGATGGGTCCATCAAGTAGTAGAACCGCCAAGGTCCTGACAAAGGAGCCGCTGCTACACCAAAACTCGGCCTATGCACTTGATTTAATCCAAGGCCACTATGCACAGACCGCATGTCAAGACACGGGCCTGCAGATGAATCCTGGGAATCGTCCAAGTAGTGCACAGCCAGCTTGACCTTCGTGTCCATCAACGTGATCTTCCAGCCCAGAGGCAAGCTGCCCTCCAAGACGTACTTGGGAATTTGGAACTTTGCATCGCTGCGATTGTTCAGCACAAGTCGTTTGCCCGCTGCGGCTTCTGTCGCATTCGGTATCTCGACCTTGACCAACGGAATCGTCTGCGTGAGGTATTTGACGACAGGACCCTCGGGGTCGTAGACCATCAAAGGCCTGTTCTCGGCAATCGCATCCATCGAGCCCCTCTTGATGCTGCTGCTGGCCTTCGTCTTGCAGCGCTTCTGCGGCCGTTGCTCATCGATGGGTGGCACCGGCTCAGAGATCCACTTCTCTAGCCTTGAGAGTCTGTATGTCTATATCAGAGAAAACTACTGTGCAAACAAGTATAATAAGTAATCAATGCACCGACTCGCTTCCAAGCAGCTTGCGTGCTGCGATCTTGACTATGTTCGCAACGCACATCTCGGCTGTCGGATAGAAGTTAAAAGTGTCGACCACTCCTTCACGCAAAGCGAAGCCCTCCATGATGGAAAGTAAGAAGAGAGCAAGGGAGGGTGCAACACTGCTCTCGGCTTGAGAGGCTTCTGCGGAGGACACAGCAGGTTAGGGCACTATCAAGCAGGAAGTGTCTGCAGCATGACGCCCAGGCTGGGCTGTTCGCTCTCTATGCATGCATGCCAGAAGTAAACATTGCGATTTCACCACAAGACTGGGCCGCAGAAATCATGCCAAAGGCAGAAAGCAAATTCTATGAAAGTAACCCCTTCACAATACGCCCGGTGCCTGCTCGATGCACGCGCAGGCGCTGTGCTTACCGACTGCCTGTCTCGACGGGCAGGTCTTGTGATTAATTCTTGTTGAAGACTCCCGCTGCTGAATAATCGCTTCGGGATGTTGTAGTTTTGTTTGTCACCTGTAAGCTGCTTAACAATCCACGTTCTCAGACTATGCTCCTGGACTCAGGTATTTCTGAGCAAACGAACTCTTGAACGATGTCTTTCCTATGTTGCAAAGCAATGCCTAAATCTGAGCAGGTTAGAGTCGTTATTGTTGGGGCTTGTACACCGCTGAAGTCTTGCTCCGTGCTGTTGGGCTCGAACCTGTGCCAAAAAAACTCAGGACTCACAAGAATAACGAGAGCAAACCGCACAACCTTCAACAAGCAAAGGTGACCGCACCAAAGCTGCTCACTGAGAGGTGCGTGTCCATATTTTTTGAGACTCAGGCCTCACCAGAATAACGAGAGCAAGTTTTGAACCGCATAACCTTCAAGAAGCACAGGTGACCGCACCAAAGCTGCTCACACAGAGGTGCGCATCCCAATTTTTCAAAGCTCAGGACTCACCAGAAGAACGAACGCAAGTTTTGAACCGCATAACTTTCAAGAAGCAAAGGTGACCGCAGCAAAGCTGCTCACACAGAGGTGCCTGTCCACATGATATTATTCAAGACTCACCAGGATAACGAGAGCAAATTTTGAACAGCGTAACCTTCAAGAAGCAGAGGTGACCGCACCAAAGCTGCTCACTCAGAGGTGCGTGTCCGCATGACTAAAACCTCAAGGCTCGCCAGAATAACGAGAGCAAGCTTTGAACCACAAAACCTTCAAGAAGCAGAGGTGACCGCACCAAAGCTGCTCACACAAAGGTGCGTTTCCACATTTTTTAAGACTCAGGCCTCACCAGAATATCTCAACGAGAGCAAGTTTTGAACCGATAAGGACAAAGAAGCAAAGGTGACCTCACCAAAGCTGCTGACACAGAGGTGCGTGTGCACAACAGCAATTGTCCTTGCAAGCACCAGACAAAGCCTTTTCCTGAGCAAACGAACTGAGCCACATCTGAGCAAACGAACTCTTACAGCAGGCCAAGGGAGCACAAAACCTGCACATAGACCTGAGCAAACACTGCAACACCTTGAATCCCAGTTTGACCCTATCTTTCTTCTAAACCGGAAAGTACCGCAAAGGACTTGCGCAAAACCCACACATACATACTTACCCAGAAGTTATAGGCCAAGAACCAGGCTTTGTGTTTTGTGCAGTGCAAAACCATCCGGAGCAAGTCTGGAGCAGCCAACGGGTTCCACAAAACAAGAAGAGCACAAAGTACGCTCACACCAAGGGCAGGATCGCGGTATCAAATAAAGCCTGCTTGAGTGAGGGCCCTGGATTTCACTACACTAAAGCGATAACAAAGGACAACCCGGAGCAAGTTTGGAGCAGCGGAAGTTGTCCACAAGGCAACAAAAGCACACAAACCTGCTCACAAAGGCCGGCTCTCTCAATGACCAAAACTGCAACCAACAACAACTCGGAGCAAGTCTGGAGCAGCGGAAAGCTCTCCACAAAGCAACAAAAGCACAAAACCTGCTCACGAAGGCAAGCTCTCAACATCAGCTTAAAGCCTGCCTCTTTGACGACAATGGCTTTGGGCCCCAACCGCGACAGACCCAAAAAAACAAAGAACATCTCGGAGCAAGTTTGGAGCAGTGGATCTCTTCCGGAAGCCAACAGAAGCACAAAGCCTGCTCACAAAGGCAAGGTGTTGACACCACATACACGTTTATCTCGTGGGCGATGAGGGACAACCCGGAGCAAGTCTGGAGCAGCCGAGGGCTTCCAGAAGGCAAGAAAAGCACAAAGTACGCTCACACAAAAAAGCAGGCTCGCGGTATCAGATAAAGCCCACTTGAATGACGGCCCTGGATTTCACTACACTAAAGCGATAACAAAGGACAACCCGGAGCAAGTTTGGAGCAGCGGAACTTGTCCACAAGGCAACAAAGCACACAAACCTGCTCACAAAGGCCGGCTCTCTCAATGACCAAAACTGCAACCAACAACAACTCGGAGCAAGTCTGGAGCAGCGGAAAGCTCTCCACAAAGCAACAAAAGCACAAAACCTGCTCACGAAGGCAAGCTCTCAACATCAGCTTAAAGCCTGCCTCTTTGACGACAATGGCTTTGGGCCCCAACCGCGACAGACCCAAAGAAACAAAGAACATCTCGGAGCAAGTTTGGAGCAGTGGATCTCTTCCGGAAGCCAACAGAAGCACAAAGCCTGCTCGCAAAGGCAAGGTGTTGACACCACATACACGTTTATCTCGTGGGCGATGGCTACAACCAAGGGACAGCCCGGAGCAAGTTTGGAGCAGCCGAGGGCTTCCACAAGGCAAGAAAAGCACAAAGTACGCTCACGCAAAGGGCAGGCTCACGGCCTAATTGAATCACGGCCCTGGATTTCACTACACTAAAGCGATAACAAAGGACAACCCGGAGCAAGTTTGGAGCAGCGGAACTTGTCCACAAGGCAGCAGAAGCACAAAACCTGCTCACAAAAATGCCCGCTGTGCGTGTGTGTGTGTGTGTGTGTTTGTGTGTGTGCCAGTAGGGAGCCATGCTGTTCAGCAGGAAAACACACAAAACAACAACGCACAAGGCCGGAGCAAGTTTGGAGCAGTGGAACTCTTTCCAAAAAGCAACAGAAGCACTCAACCTGCTCACACAGGATTCAAGACAAAGGGTGTATGACTTCAACTGGGAGGTAGAGCAAGGACAAAGGTTTGCAGGGGCAAAAAACAAAGGCACAAAAAGGACACCGATAAGTTTCCGCAGGGCAACAAACGCACAAAACCTGTTCACCAGAGGCAGGCGCACTTGGTCAGATAAAACCTGTAAACAGAAACACAAACGAACTTGAACAAAGAACAACTCGGAGCAAGTCTGGGACAGCGGAGGTTTTCCACAAGGCTACAGAAGCACAAGGCAGGCGCTCCGCCAGGAAACTCCTATTTCAGCTTTGTTCATGGTAGAAAGGAACACAAACATGCAAACACAAATATTGCACAATCCAGCCGCGTCGTGCAAGGTTGGCACAGCTTGTCAACTAGTCTTGGAAACACAGCTCTTGCACACGAGACTGCATCAGACAAGATTAGCATAGCTTTGTCAAAGCCTGTAGAGGAATGGCCAAACATGCCCTGCACAAGCGCTTCTGGCTTTTGCTATGTTACCCTGAACAACACGAAGAATGCCGCACGAGTTGTGCACAGGACACTAAGGAACAAGAGCAGACAGTGGCAAAGCACAGTCCAAAACATACCTTCATGCGACAGGTTATATCTGTTCCTTGGCCTGCACAGCAGCACAGATGTTGCACAGGAAAACGTGCTAGAGCAGATTCGCAAAGCCTTCAGACCCGTTCCACCACACACAAAAGTCTGTGCACAACAGGAAGAGCAAAGTTTGAACTGTCGAGCCCTGAGCAACCACACCGAACATGCATGTCCGCAACCCGCCTTGGATGGATGTGTACCTGTTGTTCTGTGGGCAGTTATCTTGTGCTTCCACTTGTTGTTCAAGAATAACTTAGAACTCGTTTGGGCTTGGATTCAGGTGTTTGCCGAGAGAGGAAGAGCTTGCATTACCCAGCTGTGTGGGAAGCAACTGTAGAGAATCACAGTTGTGTTGTAAAAAGATGCACATCAAAGCTGCTCTGAGCAACACTCATCCTACTGAAGGCCAAGCCTACTCATCTTCACACGGCTCGTCTGCAGACTGCTGCTCGAAAATACTGGGGCAACTGCGTTGCATTCTGGCCGCTGTGGCAAGGCCTGGGCAGTCGGATCGATACCGAACAGGATACGTCATAAAGGGTGCTGACTTCCTTGATTCAATAAACCTCTATAACATTTTGGTTTAGGGGTCCGCAGCCTCGAATTCCTCTTCCCACGAAGCCTTGTGAAAGCCCAGAGCCGTCCCACGAAGCCTACAAGCGAGGTTGATTACCCAAAGCTTGCCTGCCTGGCCTGCACCCTATACTGTCGCACATTTTTGCAGATGCAGCAGATCACTGGTGCCAGCGTGCTGCTCTAATTAATGATAGTCTACTGAGCCGGATGGGTCATGACTTCCAGTGATGGTGGTCTTTACTGGTAGTGGTAGTCTTAGTGGTAATGGTAGTGGCAGTGGTACTGGTACTAGAAGTCACGCACCCAGCGATGGACTGCCGTCGAGCCCTAAGGGCTGAAAAGAATGTCGTCCACCACTTCAAGTCTGCATCCGAGTCAGATTGCAGAGCTTTCGGCCCACCATGGCCCATGGCCCCAAGACTCCCAAATCCGAGCACCACCGACCTCGACACGTCACAAGCATGGCGCGATGGGACTGTCGTCGAGCCTGATGAAGCGATGGGAGTCGGATGGCAGTCGGATGAGGAGATGGGAGCCACGAGAACCTGGCCTAGTCTTCGGACGGGTCGAAGAACTTCCACCACTGCACCCCGTCTATCGATGCCAGGTTCTCATGGTATTTCCTCACATGTTTCACCAGCACCGCGTCTGTGTCCCCCCAAAGAGTCGCACGAGTGAGGGGCTGCCCTTGGCGCAACTGCCACTGTCCTTGGTAGGGAACTTTAGGGTTTAGGGCCAAGCCCCGGGCCGGAATTAAGGTTTGCAAAAAAAGAATGCATCCAAGCTTCTGGCCAATTTGGGCACAAGAGCATGGGCTGCGGCTCGGCCCCTGT